AATCATGTTAAAGTAAATATTTTCTTTATATTAGAATATAAAATTTATTTATTTATTTTATTAAGGCTACTTGGCCAGATTATCTTATATTATTGGATCTTATACGAATTCTTTATCCAGATAATCAATCATTACCTGAACCAGATTATCGTGATTTTCAATCTGTTGTTTCAATAGCAGCAGCATCAAATTGGTATTTTTTAACAACACGTGTTATCCCAGCTATCGTTGCATCACCTCAATCAACATCATTACCACAATATCAAACACCTATTGCACTTTATCTTCATGTTGAGTACGTACGAAAAAACAAAATTCTAATAATATTTCTATATATATATTTATTTTTCTAGAGCTTTAAAATCATTTGAAGATCGTAAATTATCATCGATTGATGATTATCGATTTTATATCGCTTGGAGTATGTTAATGAATAGAATTTATTTTGTAAATCCTTTTGTTTCCTTTTTAGACTTAGTTGGTCATGATCCAAAATTAAATTCTCCTTATGCGGATACCTTATTTAAAATTTATATTCTGAATTCTTCTCAATCAAGTCCATCGAGTCATATGAGTCATAATGTTTTTGGACCATCGGAAGGTATTCCATATCGCTCATTAGATGCAATGAGTGCACATGTTAAATGTCTTATTGCAAGACAATATTATAGTGAAATTGTATCAAAACATTTATTTAATCAATCTCAATGGGCAATGGTATCACCAGGTGGTGTTGAATCATTTGCACGTTTATTAGCTTATCCAGAAGTTGAACAAGATCGTTTAAAAGAATTATTAAGTTTAACGGAAACAATTATAAGTAAAAATTGGTTTTTAGGTGCACATTTATTAGCAGAATTATTTACATTTCGTCTTCATCGTATACCAACATCAATACGTGCACAACTTTTACAACAATTTTCCGGTATATTAGCATCACCACAACATGCTGGTCATCCACAATTATATTGCGCGTAAGTTTTCAAGTCTATAAATGCTTCTATGTGAGTGAATATTTTTTATATTTAGTATTCAAAATCTTTTACTTAATCTTATCCTTCAATTTAATTGTACTGATCTATATAATCAAGTACCAAAATTAATTGATTCAAAAATGTTACAATCAGTTTTTACAAAAGAATCAGAAGAAATCAATAAAGTTTTTATTCTATGTATTGCTCGATCATTTATTATTACTGGTTCAGAATCCATGCCTGCACCATGGTGTACAGATTTCTTAACTCATGTTATGCAGTTAACACCACATGGATGGTCAGCATCAACATTAGATGCTATGCCAACATTTATGGCTGAATGGTATCGTGCTCATCAGATAAATGATGCTTATAGAGATATACGTGCACGTGTAGATGAAGATTATAAAAAATTAACAAGTATAAAATTCTTCTAGATTTTCGAATTTAATTCTATTGTTTAATATAGATTCAGCGTCATTAGCAAATGAACAGGAAATTGTGAAACATTTTAGTCAACCAAATAATACAACTTGTTTTTGGTAGGTGTAAATTTGGGATATATTTAATTCATATTGTTATTTTAGTGTATTTCTGAAATTGACTATTGAAGATCGTCAATTACGATCATATATCAACACATTTTATGAGTAAGTAGATATAAATATAAAGTTTGTATTCTATTTCAATTAATTAGAATATTTAAAAATCTTCTTACACGTTCAATGAATGCACATTATCGTACATTAGCTGAATATATATTACGAGAAATAACTTTACAACAAAATCATAGTCAAACATTTATGCAAAAAGTAAAATAAAACGAATTTTCTCGATATTCTTATTTATTATTTTATTTTATAGTATGCAGATGCTGTTGTTTTAATGGCAACTCGTTATAATATAATTCAACTCGATCGTCTTTTGCTTATTCTTGTAAGTTTATAATTTCAATAGCGAAAATATTTGCAAAGAAATGATATTTTTAGTTTCTACGACCATTGGACGAAGCTAAAACACCCTATGTTCATATTCTCTTCTATTTTATGATTAATTCCAGTACATTATCTGAAATAATCAAAGATTTTGGTAATATTGCAAAAAGTGTATGTATAAAAAGAATTTGCTTTAATGTTATATACATATATGTTTTATTTTATAGATTTCGTGTGATATATGGAGTATGAAAAATTTTCATGAAAAATTTCATTGTGAATATCATAAGAAAAACAATGAACGATTCTTTATGGAAGGTCTTATTAAAGATTATTTACAACCAGTATGTTGAATTTTATACAAACGAAATATTTTTTAATTATTCTTTTTTTTTTTCTATAGTCTATGGATCGATGTTTACCAACGTATTACAGCAATATGTGTCTTCGTCTTTTACCTGTAAGTTAATTTTGATAATATCCAGCTATATACGGATTCGAACCATCTATAAATGCTAAAGTTTCAATTGAATAGACCAATGAACATTTTCCTAATTGAGTTTTCGTATTTTTACAAGCATTTGTTAAATAAGGTTTCAGTTCATATTGATATTTATTGAAGAACAAACGTGAGAAATAATATCGTTTATTTTGATACGTTTTTGAATATCGAAACATCGAGAATATATTTATGCGCGTTTATTTTTATTTAATTTAGATATTTGAATTAATAATTAGTCGAATGTTTGAACATATGCCAAATGCTCGTATTGTTGATACAGTTTTACCAATAGCTCAAACTCTTTTTCGTGCACATGGTTTGAATAGAAAGGCAATAAAATTTTCATTTTTATTTTATTTATTTTTTATAGCTGCACCTGTTACATTTTTATATCATACTTTATTTGTTTACGAGAAAAAATTACGAGAAAAATCTACTTTTCGTCAATCACTTATTATTGGAACTCTTGGTAAATATTTTTGTCTATATGTATTTTAAAAATAAATCTTTTTTCTTTTCAAGGAAATATTTATCAAATGCGTAAAATGGAATGGTGTTTTTCAAATCATTTTACATTATATATTGAAAATTATCTTCGTCTTGATGGAGATAAACGACCATTACAATCACCGATATTTAATTCACGTTATGCAATTGATTTATTGCATAAACTTGTTGATGATATCCTTTTTTATTTTTTGTTTTATAATATTATTTAGGTTTAGTTTTATTTTATTTTCCTTAACTCCAGTGCACCTATCTATGAGAAAAATTCTTATCAATACAATATCGATTGGCGTTATAATGAATTTGCTAATCCATCTTTACAATTAATACATTGTTTAGCGATTGAAATTTTCTTTTATACGGGTCAAGAAAATTTTAATCCATGGAAATTATTTGCTGAACCATTTATAACAGCGTAAGTTTACTTAAATTCTTGTCATAAATAGAAGTAGTGTGTAAAATATCTTTTAGAGATGTATTAATTCCACGAGCAAATTATTTAAAATATCTCAATGCTATGGGTCTTGTCTTTTCTGCTTTACCTGTAAGTAATCATTGTCTTAAATTATTAAAAAAAAGAAATTGATTTGTTCTTAGGAATATTATTGGTCTAATTTATTTGAACGAATGTATCAAATATTTGAACATCCACTTTTATTACGTTGTTCACCAACAGATATAATGGATTTACTTAATTTTCGAGAACGATTTTGTACTCATACAGAAAATATGGTCTGTTGTTTTGTAGCTGTCGTTCATTCCATCTGGTTACATGGTAGCATTAGTCATTTACAACCATTTCTCAGGTAAATTATTGCTAAATTAATCAAAAGATTATTTTTTTTTCTTTTGAAAATTTTAGTTTAGTTCAAACACGATTATCACAAACAATAAAAACAGAAAATCAATTATTATTAGCATTTCAATTAATTGGACCTTTTCTTCAACGTATACAAACTGAATCAACAAAATTATTACTTGAATTTGTTATTGTTCCATATGATCTTATTGCACGTGTTGATGCTCATCAACAATCATTTGTAAATGTTGATACGATAGCAAATTTTCTCTACCATATTAAATATATTGTTGTTGGTGATGCAATACGTGATCGTATTGAAACAGTTGTGAATAATCTTCATTGTGAAAAACTACGTTCACGTCTTCATTTTCTTTGTGCAAAAACTGATGTATCATCATCTATACATTCTCAAGGACCTGCATCAGCAGCTACACCACAAGCATCATCAGTTGATTCTTCGAGTAACAATGCACCAACTCATGGACAATTGAAACCAGGAACATCAACAATTCAAATGCAATATACAACAGCAGCAATGCAAGTACCACCCTATGGTGTATCACCACAAAATATTCAACAACATTTTCAATTAACAACTGGTGTAGCAAGTTCAATTGGATCGGATGGAAATCAACAACAACAACAACGTTAAATGATAGAAAAAAAGACAATTTATTTTTTACTTCTGCATGTTGTATTTCAAAATAATCTGAAAACATAATTATTTTTCAATACATGTAATCTGTTTCTTTTTGTTGGGAACCAACATAAAAAAGCCCACATGTGGTCTATATATATATAATGATATGTAAAACATCAAAAATTTTCATTATTTAATAAAGAATATGTGTTTGTACATATAAAAGAATTTCATATTAATAATAGCAATAACAAAACAAATTCTTTTGTCTTGATTAGTTCGACTGAGAATATTTTTACAGATGCGCATAATCGTCATAAATGTAATCAAGATCTTAATAGATTCAATAACTCAATTATATATTTAAATGTTTTACAAATCATCGACTGTTTGAAGCATGAAAGTACTCATCAATAGTAATTCTAGTAATATCCATTGACTACCTAACTTTTGTATCAATTGTTATCTAAATATTGAAAACATGAGGGTGTGTGGGTGTAATAGTTATTATACTCACACCCTCGCATCTATCGCATGTATGAAAATGAGCAGCCTTATTTTAATTTTGTCGTGAGTAACATGTAACGGCTCATATAGCGATAATGTGAATAAAAAATATCATGGTTTTTTATTTAAATGTTTATATCAGTGCTACTCGAGTTGTTGTTTGAGGGAGAACGATAAAGAGACACCAAGGGAACGGTGCACACGAAACGTCAACTTCGACCTCATCGCGCTCTCCATTGCCTTCATCTATTAAACTTAATCGATGTTCATCACAATTAATAATGAATGTGAATACGATATCAGTTCGGTCAATTCGCATGTCTTTCCCTTGTCTAAGTTTCATTCGCCCATTAAAAACACGACCAGCATCCTTTCCAAAGCCGTATGTCGAAGGATCAGCACCATATGAACCTCTTAACTCTTCATATGCTACAGGTGGTATATTTCGTGAACGAATACCCAAAATTGGAATGCCCCAATGTACCTTGATTCGGATACTATGAGTACCGGACGAATACGAATGAATACCAACGGCACATGCACAGGCACCAAATTTAAGGCTTTCGAAAATCCGTCCATTATCCTCTAGTCGGACATTGATCTTATCACCTGTATGAACTTCTGCAAACCTTTCATCCTCCACCGTGTTTACAGTGACAGACTTTGCCGGGGATGGTGTAAGGGTAACCATATTTTTGTCTCTGTAGTTGAATCTGATTAAGTGATCTAGAACGACAAAATATTTTTATTTTTTTCTTTCATATTCTTATCTTGCCGTGTACTGGAATAAACGGGCTACTTACTATTTTACAATTAGTTTCAGATTATTTCTGTTAGATGTCTAGGGGAATATGGAGTTCGCTGGTGAGATTACACATGCTGTTTGTTCTATACTATGGGTCTAAAAGGGTTAATACAGTACAGTAACACTTCATTTTAAAAAATGCTGGACAACCAATTTTTTGGTGCGTCTGCTTTCTATAATGTTACAGGAGGAAAAGAAATGATCGTTTTGTGACACTATGTAAAAAAAATCTTTACAAAATTCTGTAGCATTTGTAACTTTTAACTGCTTACAATTTTTCTTACTTGTTTCAATACTACTTCGTACAGTAGGCAACGTCGCACACGGCAAAGAACAGAAACGTGTATTATTTATTCTGCCTCATTCAACAGGATGCAATATTT